AACTAGTTTAGTTTCAGAAACAATAATGAGCCCGGCGGGTGAGGCATAATGTCAGAGAATGGGATGATGGATAGCCCTGGGAGCGGCAGACGAAGAGAAGAGTGAAGCTGATGAATTGATACTGTTAGAGCAGACAGATGAGAGTAAAATAAAAGCTTGGACACAGAGGACTAGTAAGCTACGTCGAGACAGGAATTATCTAGAAGCAATGAAACAAAAGAGAGACCCAGCAAGCAACGCCTATAGGCAAATTCTTTAATTATTAAATGAGACTTCCAAAATCAGAAAGAAACAACGCCTGCTGGCGTGAAATTAAAACACATTCATTAAACTGTTGGCCGGGACATTGCAGCTGTTGAGGATTTAAAATATGTTTTTCTTCTATATAACCACTCTGAGATAGTACAATTTGGTATTTGAACTAACCCTGTATCCTTATAAATTTCATTTCTATATATTGTGGAATACAAAATAAACAAGGGCTGTATCTTATTATTATTTTCTTTATCCATTCATCAAATTATTATTGCAATTAACTATTAAGTGATCGTTGTTTGATATAGAAGAAAATAAGAAAAAAAATGCAAATCCAAGTTTCAGAGTGCTCAGGTTGTGGTCTTTAAATAACTTATTGAAAAGTGCTCAGAAGAAAAACCTACATCTGTTAAAAAAGAAAAAGAAATATAATGAATTGGACGTCGATTATAGGATAGTTTTGTTTGCGAAGGTTGATAAAATGAGAGATTTGCCCAGAAAAAAACATTTAATTGGAGAAGATGGCCCCTTAAAAGTTGGTCACCTTATTTGATCGATAAATAAAGTCAAACATCACATGCGTTTTAACTTTTGCGCCTTTCATAAATCAGGGGGCGTGTTGTACCAGACATCATAGTGTTTGTCTTGAAGGCCTAGTAAATGAGAATGAATGGCTGATGATTGGAAAATAATATGAGATTTGGGTAATTCCACTAATCAATAAGGACTAATTGTTTAAAAATATCTGCAGTATCACTTGAGGCTTCACTACAAATTCCCTCACATGCTGGGCATCATACTCCTACCATATTCCCTGACGATGCACTGTGCGGTGGTTTTGGCCCCCCTGTGATCCGTCACAGTCAGAGTGTACACGCCGCCGTCTGCTGCCTCGTACGCATTCATCTCAAGTGTTGTCTCCCGCTGCTCCATATTCACATGGACGTTTGGCCTGGTGCCGGCACACTTGAGGCTCCTGCCCGGGCACGTGGCCAGTGTCACTCGCTCGTGAGTCATTCCAGTTTCAGGCTCCCTCTCCCAGGTCACCGAGGAGACTTCTTCCAGGGGTCCATGCTCGATCTGAGCCCTCAGAATGAGTTGTTGTCCCGGCATCACATGTACAGGCTCCTCGTTGAGTACATGCACCGACATGCACTGCAGCCCGCATGGCACTGAGGACAGAAATGTGTTATTGCATCAGAAATCTGCTTACATGCAGTTTGTACTCTTATTATGATCCCAAGTATTTCATATTCATGACCGAAAGAACAAGATCGCGGGTACAAGCGGCCGAGATGGGTTTTCTCCGCAGGGTGGCTGGCGTCTCCCTTAGGGATAAGGTGAGAAGTTCGGTCATCCGGGAGGGACTCAAGAGTTGAACCGCTCCTCCTTCGAGTCGAAAGGAGCCAGTTGAGCTGGTTCGGGCACCTAGTTAGGATGCCACCTGGGCGCCTCCCTAGGGAGGTGTTCCAGGCACGTCCAGCTGGGAAGAGACCAAGGGGTAGACCTAGAACCAGGTGGAGGGATTATATCTCTTCGCTGGCCTGGGAGCGCCTTGGGATCCCCCAGTCAGAGCTGGTTGATGTGGCCAGGGAAAGGAACGTTAGGGGCTCTCTGCTGGAACTGCTACCTCCGCGACCCGACCACGGATAAGCGGGAGAAGATGGATGGATGGATGGAAGTATGACCTTTTAGCATTTGGAGGATTTGCATTGTTTGGGCAGAATGGAAGGCTAGTAAAACAAACAATTGCATAATACTTAATCTTCGTCCTCGGCATGTACTTGAATATGTATGGCTTCTTTCTGTCAAACAATGTCAAGCGATGATTTATAGCGCACGACAGCCCATGCCTAATATGATATCCATCAAACCCCATCAATATCTTAAATCCTGTGTCAAAATGCAGTGGGCCTGGTAAGCCTCTTTGTGCTTAATACAACGAGTATTAATCACACGTCTTAACTTGATAGGCCAAGGATGAAGGAGATGTAAATAATGTAAGCTTATTATTTATGGAAAAGGCATATAACAAGTAAGTATGTGTTTGTGTCAGAGCGCATTGCAGAAAATATTTTTCTTCCTGTAGTTTCAAGCAGAGTTTTAAACAAATATCATTAGGATGCTGGCTAGAAACAAAGACCTTACCCAAGAGAAGCAGCAGGGCAACTTTCCAGCTCGGGAAATAATGTAGATCCATAACACCTGCTGATGTAGAGGGAGAACAGACAGAGGAATTTGTCCATGACCGCAGAAACATCCCACCCTTTCCTCTGTACTCGTGAAGCAAGGGTGCCACTGCAGCAAGAATAATAACTCCCTCCAGAGAAAATGTAAAATTAAAATGAGAGCAAAAAGCAATTAAAGCAGCATGCCCCTCTATTAGAAAAAATGCAAACCCAATGTTGAGGGTTATTCTTTTTTTTCATTAATTTATTTGCAAAACATCCAACAAACAACACTCTTGGCATTGCATACCGCAATTGAATCACAACTTGGAACAAAATAGGGACAGTTCGACTGCCAAAACTAAAATGAATCCCCTCAAGCACAGCTGACACAACAAAACAGAGAGAGAGGAAGCAGTGATAGCAGAGCAGGAACACAACCTGCATGCATTAAATATAACCTGGAATTTCCTTTGCTGTATACCTTGAAGTCATCAATATCAGAGGGCCACAGAGTGGGAATCACCTACCTCTCCAAAATTGAGACTAACAAAGCTTCCACTTCACTTTCCCAGAGGTTAAGGTGCAGCGCAACTCACTCTGCCAGTAGATTTATTGCTCAAAATAAAAATCAAAGTAGTTTCCATTTCATTGTGAGAAATTATCTAGTTAAAGACGACGGCTTCTACATCTACCACCATTACTGAAGCCACCATTAAACCTGAGTTGAAATTAATGTTTCAGGACTTTGTTCTCCTCTCTGCTCTGCTTTTTAAGGTCAGGTCCAGTCAGTGAGTCACGTACAGTAGGCGTCAACTTGTTTTCCAGCAGTTTCCTGCCCTCCCCGTCTCCCCCCATTTCCTGTACAGTAAAGGTTTAATGTTGCTTGTGCATTGAATATGTCAACTCTCCATTGTTAAACTTCATCCCCCCCTCATCTAACCTGTTTCCAAACACATGCTCACTCAACAATACAGTTTGTAAACTTGATAAAATGCAGTGGTATTCTTTTGAAGGGAAACCAATGACAATGTTGGTGCTCATTATGAAATAGGCTTTGTACTGCAGGCTTCTTATCCAGCACAAACACTATTCGCCCTGCAGACACAACACATTTCCTTGGCTTTGGATTGTTAAGAGTAGGTAGTACATGTATTAATCGATATATTTGTTTTGTTTATGATTGTCTCTTGCATGCAAACACATTTCAAGCGCACACAATCTACTGGGACTATCCAGTCTCTGAGGCATTGGTGAACGCCTTAAATACAAAGTTTGCCTTTTAGACAAACAATTAGCTGATTTAGTGTCGTAGTCACATTTAAATTAAGTTCTTATTCTGGACTCTTTCTTTCACAGAACAGCTACTACTGTGTGCATCAGCGGAGCCTTTTTCACTAATAAAGCACTGAAACATAATGACATCACTTATTCAGGGGGTTAGCTCTGCGTTTTCCGACTTCATGAAACGCGTCCTGGGGCACAGATTTAACAAGTGATTTAAAACTGATTATAAATCCATTTGTATTTTCAGAGGGTTTGTGAATAATCATGGGAGTCACAGCTGTGGCTCCCACTGAGATCTTTGACTACAAAGATGTGCTGGTAGCTGGAATTAACCAGTGGGTGGCACTAATATAACATCTGAAAGATATCACGACACTTTTGTTCTCAGAGTATTTTTCTTCAGCGGACATCATCATGTTATGGTTTTATGCACAAACTAATGGATGTCCTTGTTTTGCTTGACATTAATCCATATTATACCACAAGTGGTTAAATTAAGCAAATCATTAATTTGTTTTATCAGATCATAGCTGCCACATAACAGGGCAAAGAAGATTGACCTTCAAACAGGATAGTCAATAAAATCTAATAAATACATTCTCTAAAAAGGGATAAGGACTTTGCATTACTGCTATCAGTGTGGGACTGTATTCCACAGTAGGATTTCATTCATTTACAATAAAATATAAGAAAACAAAAGAGTATAAATACGCTACATGTATAGTTAATGATGCTCTTTTTAGTGTGTGGAACTTTCAGGATATCTAATATGTTTCTTGTTTGTATAATTACTCATTACTGCAATGCCATCATTAAAAACCTGCATTGGAAATAATCAAGGCACTTATATTCAAGAAATGTACTGTGTTTACTATTATTGATGAAAAAACACCACAACTATAAAGAAGTAATATAATTAATAGGGATAGAAAAAGCATTCAGAGCCTTTTCTCAAGCAAACGTACCAATACAACAATGTCAAAAATACTAGTATTGTCAGCGAAATGTACTTTAAATAAAAAAAAAATCTTCATGTGACCTGTGTATTATATTATAATATGTTATTATTATTAGTTATATTATTACATGGCATTCCTAGACTAACACAATAATGCACAAGCAGCATTATAGAGTTACAGCTGTTCGAGGTGAATCTTACTTTCAATAGTTTAATATATCTCAATGAATTCTGTTTTGTAAAATGTATCGTGGTATAGTATTTTAAATCTTAATCTGAAACGTAAGCATACTCGTAACAGCTGTCAGTTAAATATAGTTAAAGGTTTACTTTCCGCCATTGTTTATTCAGGCTGCTGTCTCTTTAAGAGAACAGGTGTGTCCTCAGCAGGTAATAGTGGAGAAACAGGAAGTAGAGTTATCAGGATCGAAAACAAAGCGACACGGAACTTTAATTTGGCAAAAACATGACCATGACGGCCGAGGGAAAATACTTTGGTAAGTTTTATACTATCCTTTTTGAAACGCGGAAAATATTTGTTTTTCAGGTTTATTTTTTTATTGAATAGCATATAGCACGGTAATAAACCGTAGCATTTACTGGAAGAAGTATGTCAAATGTATTTTAAAAGTTTCATTTCCCCGCAGACCGGCCTGACTGAAGACATGAGACAACCTTTACTTCTTCTCAGGCTGTCGCTGGCAGGTAAAACAATTTCCACTGACGGTGTCTTCTCCTTCTGCTCCGAAAGCAGCGTTCAAATGCTTCAAACAGCTCTCTAAAGCAGAGTATCGGTTGTCTCTTCTGTGGTAAAAAAAATAAGTCCAGGGAGGGGAAAATGTGGCATTCCTAGCACGCTTGGAAATCAATTACATCTTTGAAGCACAAAGCTCGCCTTAACCGCTCTTAAACCTGCGCGGCTGCTTTCCCGTTTGTGCACTGACTAGTGAGTGACGTGAGGCTTTCAGGGACTCCTCACAGGCTCTCAAATCTGAACTGTTGTGAGTATTCACAATGAATGGGAGGCCATTGTTTTCTATATCTGTATGGTATTTGGTAATATGTCGATAGGGATGGGCAGTACTGCAGTTTCTTTTAATAGGCCTACAGTAGTGAAACAAGGTTGTTACTCATGCATTAACAATGAAACAGCATCCAATACCGATACTTGGCTATTGTTAATGACAATATGACTTCAAATGTCCTACTGTATTCCCTCCAATTCAGCCTGTGTTCTAATGACACACAAAGAAAAGCTAAAAGGTACATACGTATACAAACTAATTGGTCACTTACATATGAAAAATCAACATAGGCTGAGCATGCACAATTCAAAGAATAAAGCTGGTGTTTTCATTGTTAAAAACAAATATCATGAAAAAACAAATCACAATGATTTCAATCCTCTTCAGTATTGTCGGAAGCCTGATATATCTTTATCTTTCTCATAGACTTTATTAATGCACTTAAATTATTGCATAAAAGTGGGTGTCATGGACAGCAGAAAGATAGGGTTGATGAACAATTAGAGCAATTACATATGTATTACAACACCGATGAAAACGGTCCTCAATAGATGCACTAATTATAATTTTTTGAATAAAATGTGTTAAATCCACAGTGCCCAGCTGCTGGACAATGAGTCAATGACCCATGGTATAATTTGGGATCTGAGTGATTTAAAAAAAGGCTTCCGACTTACGGTGCTAAATGCCCAAAACAGAGTACTGAGAGTCAGAAGGGAGTTTCATATTAGGTATGATTTATTTGTATTGTCCTTCATCCGGCTCAGCTTTCATATTTGTTATGTTGATTTTGAAGTGACTTTGTTTAAGTTGTTGCTACTGTGTACAGAAGAGTGCAACACTCACACATTCCCAAGGCCTTACAATCAAATTGACCTTCACAGTATGTTTACATTTCTTTATTTTTTGGAGAAGATGTCTAGAACAAACCTGTCGCCTTCCTTCCTCCTTTATCACCCTTGGCTAATACCAGCTTTACCCTTCTAAATTCACTGCACTTTAAGGTTGTTAAGATATTTGCTGGTATCAATTTTCCCATCCAAAATGACAGATTGTTGTTCCATAACCGGGTATATAACACAGTTTTGGGTGCATACAAATGATCTACTTTAGGCATTTGTGCTACAAGGAACACAGGAAAGGAGCACAGGAATGTAAATTATATTTTAATTTGTTCATTAGCTAGGGCTTGTTGTTCATGCATGAAAGATAATAATTAAAGTAATGATCAGCAACATTTTGATATAATTAAATACAAATGTTGCTGTCGTCTATTTGTGATTAAAATAAAAATAAATAGTGATCCAATCTGCAGGGTTTTTAGTTGCCACCAGCAGCCCTTTAGTTCACTTTGTTGGTTTCAATATTTCCTCAAAAACATTTTCCCGACCTTTGGCCGCCACAGTTTTCACCCTAGCAGACTGACATGTAACATAGAGGTCAAAGATGTGAGTGTGTGTTTATTTTTCTGCAAACTCGCATAAAAAGAATGCGGCAAAAAGCGTAGAGCGGTGCATAACTTACCATGGCAACAGTCATGAACAGTGTATTGTTTACATCTGTGGCAGGCGTCAATGCACGCAGCAGAGTGTGTGTCTGCGGTTGTGTGAAAGCATGCACGTACGCTGTTGCAATTATTGCGAATTAACCCTTTTTTCTATGCTAAACGCCTGCAGTGTGGTCAATGTGTGGTCTGACGAACATCCTTTGATGCTTAAGAGGTGATTCATTTTACATTTTGTAGGTGCAGCGGTTACTTTATAATAAAGTACATTGTTACAAGTTAACAGTTTGACCTATTATTAGACCCACCCACCCCTTAATGTGTGGTTTATCAGTTTAAGGTTCCTACAGTATTTGGCATCACTTCAGGGCCAACAGTCATTCAAGGTACATAAAAGAGTTATATTTGTAGATACACATTAATTGTAACTTATCAAATAGGACTTAGTATTGCTCTTTTGTCCTTGGAAAACCCTTCACAGCACATGAATGCATCTGCTCTGTGCTGCGTTACTCATTTCTTTCTTTGAACTCATGTCTCTTTATCTTCCCGTCTCTTCTAATAAAGTCACAAGGCCCGTGATATTTTTAATAGGGGCACCGAAACTCTTTTGACGTCTTTAACAGCAATGCGAGTGAACCTGAACTCAATCCATCTCTCTGTTGACCTTTTGTCATTTGATACACTGCTCCCCCTGTGAAAATCATTTGAAGGCAGTCCAGCGAGACTGATCAGCACCATATTGATTTGGTTCTCTACAATGCATTGGCCAGAGCACTCTTGCGTGGTTGCTTTATTTGCCAGTAAAACGGCATTGAGTATTCTACCTGAGTTTCCCAGCCTGAATCTGTACAGAAACCTAAACAAAGGTCTGGCTGCCAAATACAAAAACTTATATCTTTGTTCTCTCTTTCATTCACAAACACCCTGCCAATGGACACACAGCATACAACAGTTAAAAGCCTGTAGAATATTTGGTTCTTTTACAACATTGTTTCTGAGGAATTGACTATGCACTGCAGATTCTCGAGAAGAGAGACGACAACTATGATTTTAACACGGATTACGTTAAGTCAGCATAACAAAAACACAAAATAGATGTTTAGCTTGGGATCACTTTCAATCCAAAAAAACATGGTGTGAAATCTATGAGGGAGAAAAGAGTGTGTACCTAACTAATAGGTTGTTACACCCGGATCCCGGCCTGTTTGTTTCTATAGATCCTGCTCTCTGCAGGGGTGAAAGAAGCCTTCACATTGTTTACTCAGCGAGGCCACCAGTGAAAACACTCTTTTTTCAAGTTCATGTCCCACATAGAAATTGCCTGTGAAATTGGACAAGCATTTTCAGAATAATGATCTTAAAAAAATCCAAATAAAAATGTATTGTTCCGCAGCAAACTTGCCCTGTAACTGAGTATATGACATGTTTGGATTGGACGCTGACGCATTAATATGTAAGGTGAATTTTATTGCATTTTTGCATGATTAATTGGGTCTTTTTTGGTAATATTCTCAATAGATATCTCAATATGTTCAGTGCCTCTACATCGGCGTACAGTTTCACATAGGCTACACTCCAAATACTTTTCTAATATGACTGATAACTTGACCTTTTGTGACTTGAAAAGGTTTTTTCAGGATAAATCACTCTTTGGTGAAGCTGCATATTCAAAGACATTTGAAACATTTTGTGGACAAGGGATCACAATTACAAACACTGGTATGATTTTATGATGATGGTATGATTCATATAACTTTAAATAAAGTTACAGATCTTAATCTCCAAAGTATAACTAGGAACCATAGTTGTCAAATAAGAGTATAAAATGTAGTATTTCTCTCAATAACGTGGTAGAGTAGAAGAATAAAGTAACATCAATTAAAAATATTCAAGTACAAGTATATGAAAATTGCAAAAATCAATCAATCAATCAATGTTTATTTATATAGCCCAATATCACAAATGTTACATTTGTCTCAGTGGACTTCACAGTTTGTACAGAATATCAGTATGACAACACGACACCCTCTGTCCTTAGACCCTCACATCGTACAAGGAAAAACTTCCAGAGAAATCCCCACAGTTTAAAGGGGAACATGGGAGAAACCTCAGGGAGAGCAACAGAGGAGGGATCCCTCTCCCAGGACGGACAGACGTGCAATAGATGCCGTGTGTAAATTGAAAAGATAATACACTTACAACATAGGTAGACCAAATGTTTGGAAATGCATGTGTGTATAATAGGAAGATGAATCCACGAGGATATCTATCCAGGACTTATGATCCAGGACCACAGCAACAGGATCATCCATGACTCCGGATCCTGGCGTAGATAGACACCAAAAAGAAATTTGGGGAAGCTGGGTTATTCGGAACATGAGAGTACACAGGTATAGACAGAGAGAAGGAAGAAGTAGGGTGTCCCCTGACAAACTAAGCCTAAAGCAGCAAAACTAGGGGCTGAATCTAATCAGCCCTAACTATAAGCTTTATCAAAAAGGAAGAAAAAGTGTAGAACTTGAGTAAATGTACTTTATTAAACTGATCTTCTCTCTTCTGTTCAGTCCTCCTCTCTGCCAAAGTGCTGGCTCAGCAGCCGGTAGAGATCCAGTTCCAGACTGACCCGGTTCTGGTTCAAACTGGTTCTGAGATCGTGTTCACGGTGCTGACGGTGTCCCAGGTTTTCTCCATGAAATGGCAGTTCCAGGGAGGAGTGACTGTTGGTCAGTGGAGCTCAGGAGCCTCAGCGATTAACCCGGGAACCCAGTTCGTGGGTCGGGTCACCATCTCTGCAAACCAGCTCCGAATCGCAGGCGCACAGCTCCGAGATGCGGGGGATTACACGGTGGAGGTGACCCCCTCTGGTACCACAGACCTTATTGCTAACTCCAAACCGGTAAAGCTGAGAGTCTTTGGTAAGAGAAAAAGAAACGTGCCTGATTTAAGACTTAAGAAGAAGAAAGGGAGGGAAGGAAGGAAGGTAGGAGGGGTGGGGACGTGTATGATAATGTAAAGGAGGAAGAGAAGTGAGTGAAGAGAGAAGAGGGAGGATTTGGGGAGTAAGAGAATTAGTCTGGGAGGTATAATAAAATTAGTGACCCATGGTAGGCGAAGTAAAATTAAGGAAAAAGGAGGAGGGGATGAAACTAGTTGCTCAGGGCTTTATGCTAATAAAACACATTTGATATGCAGCGCTCATGCTCTTAGATGTTTGATATTGTAGCTGTCTAAATATGTAACGTACATTTACATACAGTATTTGCATTAATTTGCATTCAGTTCTGTAACTAAGCTGGACCAGCTGAGTGTTACTTTTTATTAGAGTAATGTCGCTCTAGTCGTTCCCATGCCTCTTACCACCGGCGCTAATAGGGTGTCAGGGAGACCAAATTGTTAGAAGCACCAAGTCTATTATTGCTGAAAGGTCACATCCTCTAAACTCACAGCAGTTCACATACGTGTCCTTGAGCACGACTGTCAACCTCCCACTAACTCACTGACAACTTACTTTAGAAATGAGTATAAGCTAAAATCCTAAATTATTCACAGCACAGGCAAGTTTAAAGTCAGAACATTTGCAAGTGATTAGAGCTATCTGGTGTCTGCTCGGATGTTTTTGTTTGTTTCCTGTTGCTGCTGCAGTTTCGTCTTAGTCACAGCCTTCTCCGTCAGCACGCCCCCTCTTCTCCCTCTCCAATTATTTAACTTAGGCTGACTGCCAAGAGGCATCTCTGCTACCACTCACACCGTCTGCCCTCTTACTCACCATCTGTGCTTCTATCTGAATCCTGTCCCTTCTCAGCTCTCACTTGCTTTGATTACCACAAATGATCCTCAACAGAAACATAAAACTGCCCTGTATTGTTGTGTCAGTCCAACATCTGAAGTGAGCTCTCGTATACTCTCATGCTCTCTACCTACAGCCATAGTGCCTTTTTTAGAAACCTTTTTTCTGCTTTTGTAGCTCTTTGGTAACCCATTTTTTTCATACTCTCCCTGTAGATGCAGTGGCGGGGGTGAATCTGATTGTTCCCGCAGTTGCGATGGAGGGGAGGAATGTGTCTCTGCGGTGCACATGGACTGCTGGGACAGATATTGCAGTCCAGTGGGGCAAAGGAGGTGCAGCCATCGTCACCGACGCCAGGATCACCATCTCAGGCGGCTTTCTAGTCATCAACCCAGCCAGACGAAGTGATGCCGGGGTTTACTCATGCACCGTCAGCAACCCTGTCAGCGCCCAAACCACCACACAGAGCATCACTGTCTACTGTGAGTTTGATCAAGACAAGTGGCCGTTAATCTGCTGCAGCCACTGCAAACAGCAGTAGCTTATCTACTCCGTCTACACTGCACTGCAAACAGTGTGCTAAGATGCACTCGGATTGCAAAGGACATTCTTCCATAGGCCCATTGTGCTGCCTGAGCGTTGTGTTGATCACATCCTTAATTCTGATGTGACAGTAATAGCAAACACTACCAATCATCCCACTGGCATATTTAAGTGGCCCGTTATCGTTGTCCTCTAACATTAAACAGATGGTTCTTAGCCAAATGAAAAACACATCAATTTGCGTGTGTTGTTGAAATCTGTTGGGGCTATGCATGCCAAAAGTGGATTTTCTTTCGTCACACTTATTTTTAATCACCACTTCTGATGTCCACCCAGACACCAGACTGTTATATAAACTAAAACTGCAACTAAGGATTCTTATCATCATTGTTTTTGTCATTATAGATGAATCTCTTAATAGCTCAGTTGATGAATTATCAGAAAACAGGCAAAATTCTTACAGACTTCCCCAGTAAGTTACGTCACACCTGAAATTTGATTTAATATAAAACAGAAATCACCTCACATTTTTTTAAGCTAGAATGTGAAAATATGTGGCCTTTCTGCAAGATATTTGAATAGACACATCACGTGAATATCAGAATTGTTATTAACAAAAGTGATCAGAAGATTTCTACCACTCTCATATTTGTCAGTGAAACATAAAGCTGGAACCAGCAGCCATTAAGCTAAACTTAGCATAATGGCTGGAAGTAGTTTGCCCGGTTTTGTTAAAGATAACCCAATCCACCCTCTTACTGGAGGAAGTTGCATACTTACATAACAGAACTACTGTATGGACTTAAGTCAAACTTATTTCATTAATTTATTTCTTATAGCTTTCAATACAAGTAATGGAACAAAAAAATATAGTACATTATGTAAAGTGTAGATCAAGCTGTGTTGAACAGCAGGCTTAACGAGTGTTTACCCACAATGCAGTACTTCTCCAGACTGAGCAGGACTTCACAATGCTTTTTGATGTTTCTTCAAGTGGTGGCAGCCATTCGTATTTTAGATTTAACATCAAACAAAAAAGTGCACAGCTTTGTAGACGGCAAAGAGATCGAGGAGGTTTCATTAAAAGGCTTTACGCTGACTTAAACCCAAAAATGACAGAAAGATAAAACCTTGAACAGAATACATCATCTGTTCATTAGAGGCAGCTTTATTGAATACAGATTTCTCTTGTTGTACTTGTGAACCAAATGTTTTTGATGCTGATGAATGTCCTCTGATCTCCCACAAAACCAGATGGCCCTGACACCCCCGTGCTGACCAAGGAGAGCGCTAAAGAGTGTGTTGGGGGAGGGGATGTGTTGGTGGGACAGGAGGTGCGTCTCACCTGCTTGTCTGACTCGCTGCCCCCTGCCCTTTTCTCATGGCAACGTGACGGACAGACGGTCGCCACCGGACAGCCGGACAGCGGGTTGCTCAACCTTCAGACTTTCTCAACAGATGAGAGCGGCCGGTACGTGTGCACGGCCAGAAACAGCGTCACCGGGGGCTCGTCGGAGCAGGGGACAGACCTGGCTATCGTAGGTGAGTTATAGTGGAGCCTGGCCTCTCTGTGACTGATAATGATGAGAGTTGGTTTTGGACAGTTTCTTGTATCTGTCATCACAGCTGCAGAAAGTGGATCTTAAGAGAACGTGTTCAAAGTCATTCAGTGACTTTCACACTTTCTTTCCTCTTCTCCATTTTCATTTCGGTCTTTGCTATAACTATCATCCTTTTTCAGAATCTCCCCCTTCTCTCCTCTCCTGTTCTCACTTCTATTTTCAGTCTGAGCGTCAGACTCATTATCATTATTAATTCTTCCCCTTGACATGATTTTTTTTGAACATTCCAGCCACGTGTCTAGACGTCGGGGAAGTGGTGGGGACTGTGATTGGCTCTTTGCTTCTGCTGCTAATCCTCATCGCGCTCCTCATTGTGCTTATTGTGTTTCTCGTGCGACGGAGGAGGGGTAAGTCTTTGTTTGCGATCGTGTACATTTTTATTTGTCCACTTTTTCATTGTAAATTAATGTTGGGTCAAGCATTTTTTAAAAGGCTCTTTGATGATCTTTATTTTCATTCATACATCGCATAATAGCTCGAGCACATGTTCATGCACTGAAGTGATTTCTTCTTTATCATTTCTATTATTGCAGCACAGAGACCAAGAGATTCTGCTGTGCCTGTGCAGAGGGACAACCCAAATCCCAGGCTGATAGTAAGCCTCAGTAAAGTTTACATGTGATTCACCATTGATTTTGTCTTTATCCAGTCTATGTGCTGGTGCTTATGGGCTTTTCACAAATGACCCTCTCATTCCATCTTTCTTTTGCTGTCTCTTCTCTCCCTCCTCTCATTTTTCATCTGCTCCCATTAAGCCTCCAGATCCACAACCTAATGGTGCAAGGGATTTGGGCCAAGGTCCCCAACCCCCCCTCTATCACACACGCCACCCTGAGCGCGTACACGCACCCCCTCTTGAAATAAGCAACCCACAGACAGTGCAGCCGAACGGGCAGCATAACTCTGACACACACCAACAGAATGGACGTACCCACGCAAATGGACTCCTACAAAATGCATCTAATAATGCCGATTCATACCCTCACAATGGCATTGAAAACAGGGCTTTTACGCACACTGATGCTCAAAATGCAAACACACTCCCGAACACACAACAGCAAAATCCTAACATTCTCATACAGACTGGCGGTGCCCAGGGCGGCAACCAGCAGCCGGGGGTCCACCTCAGCCTCAACACACTGCCGCAGAGTGCCCAGCAAAACAACAATGCACAAATGCCTACCATACATGTCAATCTTAACTCATACCCAGCCAACAGCCATCAGCCTCAGCAGGACAGCTCATTTCCTCTTACCAATACTGCCAATAATAACACTTTGCAAACCCATCAGAACGTAACACACACAGAGCAATCAAACCCCAGAATGCAAAGTGGGCAGCCCTATCCTAATGACCCCCGGCTGAATGGTCACATAGAAGCAGATCAACAAGATCAGCCTAGACTTGTCCCGACTGGATCCACACATTATAACAGTAACAACACTCTCCAGCAAAACGCCGACACACAGACGTACCAGCGGGAGCCAGATTCCCCTCGCAGGTCTGAAATAAACTCTTGGGATCTCCTCAGAGGGACCCCAGCGTATAAAAGTGTATTACCCCCAGGGACCCCAGCGTATCCCAGCGCCAGGCATCAAAGAGGACAGACATTTCCTGAGTACACCTCTGACACAGACTACACCTACCATCCTCCCATACCAGAGGCAAGAGCACCTAGCAGATCTCAGCCTCGACTCCAGAGCCAAAACACTTCACGGAGCAGAGCTTCACCAAGACGAGAAGCCCCATCAGAGGACCGACGGACACGGAGCCGTTCTGCTGATCATCGAGGCCCAAACACTCGCAGCGTAACACAGCTTGAGGCTGAACACAACACACAGAGAGTCAGACACACACAAAGGCAGAGCGCTCAGCGAGACATCAGAGAAACGCCTGGTAGCCAGAATGCCCCCAGGCAGGAAGCCACACACAGGAATAACCCCCAGGCTCTGCCTCTCATGAGCCAGCAGGCCTCTGTGGGCCGCTCTGCTCTGTCACAAGGTCCCACGACACAACAGGGACTGGCTGCACCTCGGGGTGCAGATACAAGAGCGTTGGCTGATCCTAATCACCTTCCACAGGCACAGAGAGCAGCACAGATCCAAACTTCAACACAAGGCCTGGGCAAACAGACACAGCCTGTCATAAACGGTGCCAATCATCCCCGCCAAGGAGGCACTGCTCCACTCCCAAACTCTTCTGCCCATCATAATCCCAGCAACCTAACCCAGGCTGCTCTCACAGCCCACACTGAGAGGGCTCAAACATTTCAGAATAGGAAACATCAGACAATGGCTGCTCTGCTTCGCCCCGGAACACAGACACAGGTTCCTGCTGACGGGGCTAAGCAGCCACCAGCGCCTCCTCCTGTGATGCCCCTCACACAGTTCCAGACCCTCCCTAAGAAGCACACCCCGCACAGATCCCCAGTCAGAGGGCCTCAGCCCCCTAGACCTCCTGTCAACATGCCGATCGCTCAACGACACCAACAAGTACAACATCGGCCCACCAACCATCATCCCCAACATGGACACATGCATGTCGATCCTCACCGGCATGCCAATGGCCGCGGGCATCCTGCACACTTCACCCATCCCGAGCAGGTAAGTGAGACACAGCATGATGCTGCTAACAGTAGCCATATGTTTGTTGATATGACTTCTTTCCAGCACACATATCTCCTTCTGATGTGCACTTACAGCTGTCATATCATGTCATGGCTCCATGTGTGCAGTGTTACAGGCTCCTCTCTACCTGCACCGTCTCCTCAGCAGTGTGTGCTTTCGTCTGTAGTGTGTATTTTCTTGATGGATTCTTGACAGCACTTGTATATGGCTGTTGCATTTTCACAATTGACAAAAAGATGACATTACTATGTATTTAGTCTTGAGTGTTTGTGACACTGTGGTTCTGCCTCTGCATGACATGTTGCCAATGAAGGGCTTATTGTGTCTTTCCAGCATCAGACTCACAGGGGGAGACCAGGATGATGACAGATGTCAGCAGAATATTCTCTACTACTGTCCCGCATCCACTGGCAAACAAACAGCTGACACACTTGATCCAACGTACCACCGAGCAAGACTGACTGCACAAGGTTCTCCTCTCAAAAAGGCTGACACACCCGGGTGTCTCTGTCGCTTAGTTTTTTATAAAGAAAATAAAAATGTCTCCCATGGGGATTACAAAGTGTAGTTTTTTGGATTAGAGTACTGCTTTTCTAGAAATGAATGTCAAATTACCAAAAGAAGGATGCTCGATTTGCACTTATTAAAAGAATGTATTGAATAAGCTACGTGATACTGAATGTATTTTTAACCTAAAATCCTTCCCCATCAACAACACTGCTCTACACACAGACGTCATGTAGTCCCACGTGAATTGTATTATTTTGCCTTGTGAAGCAGTGGTCATGCATCAAACTTTGCTGCTGAGCCTCCTCCGAGCAGACAGGCTCAGTGATCCATAGCTCTTGACCAAGCTCACACCCCCTCATCCATTCATCATCGAAAGATCTAAACAACACCACCTTGACAAATGCACTTGAGGTGCTTGCATGAATATATCTGTCTCTATTCTGAGAAAATAATTCACCCCTGGGACGGGTGACAATTATGAAAGAAGAAATTAGCCGTAGGGGCGGCCTTAACGTAAATGGAACTATTTATTTTCCGCCTTCTGTTTACGGATGCTTCTTATTACACTTCTCAATTAAGGGATTCGCCTCGGTGGCGCTCAGGCGTAATGCTCAGCTAACTATGAAGGGGATCCCACAAATGGATGTGCGCTTATCAATTAAATGCTTTTTATGTGACTTAAATTATTTGGAAAGTAATCACACCCCGGCCATGAACAAGGTCAGCACAAAGACTGGATCTGCCACGCTTTCTGCTGAAGAAGCAACAATGAACTGTCTGCACTGGGTCAGGGACAGCACATTAAAAACAATGGGATCTCATTATTTTTACAGATGATGTGTTTATTGATTTATAATGTTGGTGCTTTATTTAAACTCGGGTTCGCTTGTAAAATGTATTATTTGGGTTGCAGCAATTGATAACAATGCTATTATTTCTGTATGCTAATTTCATACGGAATTTCAAGGATGAGGCTGCAATGATTATGTTTATTATTGTCAACAAATCCATGAATTGATCCTACTTACAAGTGATTGGTCTCTGTGCTTTCGAGCTCCATTGTTTTCTCATAAATACACATCAATGAGACACACTACGTGACATGGTCCAGCATTACCATAAACATGGCCACTGTACTTTATTGGAGTCAATAACATTAACACTGCTGCTGTACATTCTCTCACTTAAACACAGCAACACAAACATAAAGTCAATATGAAGTCATAGCCTCACACTATCCTGCATACGGCTTCCGTTTGCTGTAAATGAACACAAAAGCATGAAATGTGTATTAATCCCCAGCTGAAGATATCCCCATATATGCACCAATTACTGCACCATGAGTAGCATTTGATCGTATCTTCAGTGTCCAGATGTTGCAGGAAATACTTTTTTTGTAAAGAAGGTCATATTTGCAACCTGTTTGTGAACATTTATGTCCTCAAGAGCAACAAATGTGATGAGAACGTTGAAGAGGGAAAGGAAGTAACACTTGAGAGAGAAAATAATCCACAGTTGTTTTCCATCTTTACGTGGGATTTGTTGAATTACGAAAGATTCATCCTCACATCGAAATACATTAACTTACACGGCACATCTGGCAACTACAGCCAAACATCTGGAGCATGAGATTGACTTTACTGCCTTGAATTATGATGCTGTTTTAGGCAAATGAATGCTTGTGTATAGTTTATACAGATGTTACATATGTATGTGAGATGCTGAAAGCACAGTTTTCTTTTTATCTTTATCTCCTCAGGAAGGATTTGTATATTGTTTGGGCTTCAGGAATCCATTATGTTCTCAATAATATACATATGTTTTACATAACCTGTGTGAAGTCTTCTGTTGAAAATAACTACAATAACTGTCATAGTCTGCACATTGCCCGTTCTATTTCCATCACAGCTGAAGTCGTCTGAATTATTCAAAGCACCGAGCACAATCACCTTATTTAGCCTCTCCTTTCGATATAAATGCACTCTACCAAACATAAGGATCTTTTGATTTTCAGTACAAAACACCTCATGCATGTGACAGTAAGTCAGACCCCACAAACATCTATTTATTCCTCTGAAGCACAGCGCCGTGTGCAGCCCGAGCATATTTCTGCTCACTGTGTCTATAGTGCTAATTATGCATGGCGCCTGTGTACACCGCACGCTGCTGTGGATTTTCCTCAGATGAATCTGTTCCTTCGGCTTGTTGTTGAGGAGGTGCAGAGCGTGTTTGGATCACAGCTTTATCAGTCTCCCAATCCTCTGCTCCCACTTGTACGTCACCTCTGATGAACAGACCTGCTGCTCACTATTGGAGACACTTCACGGTAGTCTAGCTCTGTAACGAGTGGAGATGGAGTGCATTTGAGTGCTACTAGAAAATGTTGCGCCATTGCCTACCTGTTCCAGATAAAAGCTGTGATTTATGAAAAGTTTGAAGCAGTTTTACAACTAGTGTTTCGTATACGGTTGGATGTAGAGTGAAGTGTGTTGTTTATAGCCTAAACAACTAAAAGTACAAGACCCTCTGTTGTCTTGAAGCACAAAACATAGTAAACCTCAATTGCTGATGTGGCCTCCTTCCCTGGGCCAATTTGCATGTAAATCTGCTGGTGTTGTTTTATTAAACTGATTTGCTGTGATTTATTGTGACTGCCGCAAGTAATTGTTTACGCATCCCTTTAGAGGCATAAATTAAAGGAAAACATAACTCAAGTGCGGTGTGTGCAAATAGGGAATTTTTTTGTATTGATGAATGCTCGTTTTGGTGCGTGTCAAACTGCAGCAGAGAGCTTTCCCGCCTCAAGTGCTCAGAGAGCCAGAGTTGATTTCACTCAGGAGACTGCAGTGGATTTGCACAGGAAAACTTAACACTTCAAAATGGCCTATATATTTCTAATCCAATTTTAATTTAGATTCAGCTCAGCGGGCACACATCATTTTGTAGATTTGAAGGCATTTTATAGTTTGAAATAGCATTGGAGGTACCATAAGGCCCAGACAGAATGTATTCCAATTACCTAACAGCTCCAAGTGAATAAAAATTCATGATTCCGCATTTCTTTCGTTCACTGCAGTAACGGCGATTATCTTTCAGCACCCGGGAAACTAAAAGGTCAGGCCTGATAGTACTCGTGAGTCGTCATCATCATCATCATTGAAATGAACTAGTAAGTCCTTTGAGATCAATGTGTCCATCCCTGTCAAAGTGTCCTTGAGCAAGACACTGTAACAGCCTCTGAGCACTGACCCCCTTTAGTGAAATGCCACATGAATATGAGTCTCAGAGGAATATGAAATGAAACAAATGTATGATTAAACTTTACACAGATGAAGAAAAAAAAAAACACAATGTGACACCATGACCCTGAATTTATAGCTTCAGTCTGTGCCTCAGCAATCTATCCAACATGCCCTTGAGCAGGACAGTGAATCCCCAGCAGTTCGCTGACTATAAATCACTCTAGGTGGGAGTTTATAAAATGCCTAAACTGCTCTTTGGCATCAAGGGACTCCATGCCTCGCCATCCCACAAGGGGGCGCCATGTGAGAGGATTATTGAAGTTATCTACTGATCACTTTCAACCATGTTTTCCCCATAGACTGTATATATAAAGGTTTTTCCTCAAGGCCTTCGCCATCTGTGCAACTTTGATGGTGAGTGCTGAAATTAAAAACGAGCGGCAGGCAAAGTCATTCTTGTCTTTGGTCCAGCACACAAAAAAAGCAAGCCAAAAAAAATAAAAATAAAGCTGTGTGCAGCAACAAGGAAATTCTCACATGTCATTAGCTTGTTTTTAGATGCTCAAAGTTGAACCGCCGCCTTCAGGGATACATATCAAACACAGGAACTTCAAAGAGTTTGTGGTTTATCGTAATCCTTTGTTGATTCATTTGAGTGTATTACGATGTGTTTCATATTGTCACTGTGCTTTCTCTTTCAAATAAAAGCCTACTGATATTTCTCAGTTAAACAAATGAGACAAACCACAGGAGTTCTTTCAAGCCTTTTCAACAGATCTCTAACATCATATGTGGCTTTAAAATACAAAATCATTTTTGAGTCATGTAATCACACATTCATATTTACAGATTTGCCCCTTTTCAAGAAACAGATGGCATAATAAAAACGGCAGCATAGAACAGGGGAATACAGTGAAAGATGAAATAAAATAAAACCGGACATCACGCCTATCTACAATGGAACTCCTTTTCCCACCTAGTGTTATAGTGTTATAAAGGAAACAGCGGCTCACATTTCATAGAATTAAACCACAGGCGTGAAGCAGAAAGAAGATGCACATTGCACAAAAAAAGCAGTTAATTAAATTGCAGACCAGAAAGTTCCTCTCATAAGCAAGCCATGGGTTGCAGCGTTAATTCAAAGTCAGCAGAAAGAGAGACAGATGATCGCACGCAACAGAGCAGATGCACAAGTCACTAAATGTGAGCCAAGATTAGACAGAAAGCAGCGCAGTTACTTGCATTTAAAAGAGGGATACTTGTCAATTTCATGTTCCATTAAGTGCATTTTGGTCCAATTGATATATGTACTGTACATTTGTAATGAATAAAATCAATAGGGATAATTATTACAATATATTACTGTGCAAAACATACAATTAATATGATCTCCTCAAAGCCACCAGACTCAGTATTTCAGAGTCATTTTACCTGGCTGATTATTGGGGAAAACACAAAGAAATTGAACCATCTTTGTCAGACTTTCCAACAGATACAAACTTGGATTGGAGAGTTTAAAAGAAAGACTAAATTGGTAATAGATAGATAGTCATGGTAATAGATAGATAGTCATCGTTGACTAACCCTGCTTTCCAGCATGATTATAAAGTTAATGTGACACACCAACAAAAAAACAGTAAGAGTTGTATACACTCGCACATTTTTATGGAAAGGGGTATAACGTTTACAGGTCAGACTCAGGACAGCCAATGGTTACTACTAAAACATAGTATAGCACCAGTAAAATAGACAATAGTTGAGTAAAGAGAACTAAGTGAGAAATAGGAGCATTGCATGAGGCTAATTAACATTAGCCACGTAAAGCTAGTGGTCATACCAGACCAGGTGTGGCAATAGCCGGAAAACCACTGTTGTGTTGACTTGGGCAAGAGTGTATTTCATTGCTTTTTCTATTTAAATGAGGAAGAATTCTGTTATTTCTTCTGGCAGAAGTTACAAAATTATGCATGCCCAACAAACTCCACACTGTTGCAACGCCTTGTTGGGATTCACACGAAACATTGCTACAGGCCAGATAACCAACACCTTAGAGCAGACGCGAGATTCAAAGTAGGGATGCCAGCGATTATTCGATTATTCGAATATTCGTTACAGTCTCCATAATCGAAAATTATTTTTAAAATTCGATTTTATTTATATATATTTTCTTATTATTATTATTATTTTTTTACAC